AGTTGTAAGTAACCAAGCAAGGCACTTTGAGTAGTGTACCTTCAATTTGTCACACAATTTAAACCTAAATTAGGTTAATTACCTAATTGTCTCAGGTTTTTTTCTGCAGTATAAAAACTTTCTAAACAACAGCTCAATTTGAGAAGAGAAAAAAAAATCAACAAATTTGACTGGAAGGATGTCTTAGATTTAACAGTCAGAAAATGCTGCTGTAAACAGGCATAACAAGCAGTTTCCACACATGTACCAAATGTCTGACATTTTGTAATTACCTCCTTGGTGGAAGCTCATGAGAATACAAATACTAACATCAGATGAATCTGACCTTTATCTTTCCTAGGTAGTGGGGGCAGATAAATCTCTGAATGAAGCATCTATAAATACAGCAAACTGGTGCCTGCTGGGTAGCTCATAATTTAATCTGTTGGTTCTGGTACAAAATCGGCTGCTTTTCTGCAGAGCTGTATTCAAAATGATTCTTTAAAAATTTTACAGCTAGCATTTTTCAAAAGTATTCACAAATCTTGACTATGCAAATTTGTTGGACAGGAGTTTGTTTTGGGTATTCTTGGCAATCTTTCTGAGGCTCTTATTTGTATCAACTGAAAGAAATAAACAGTGATTCGTTGACTGTGGTTCAGCCTCGTTTTGAAGATTTTTTCCTTTTTTCAACCACTAAGCTATATACGCACCACTTTTCGTGAGCTCCGAGATCCTTCCAATGAGTGCATCCAACCAGTATCTATTGACTTTGTTACTGTCAGCAATGCTACGTTCAGAACCGCACGCTGCAGAAGCAGCTAGTTTACATGCAAAGTCAAGGTGCAGCAAAAGGTCTTGATGGGCGTTTTGAGAAGCAAGAGCAGCGCCTCACGAGCTTCAGAGCATCTGACACGCATGATGCGCTTCAGAAGCAGCAGCTGTTGTAGTTGGAAAATTTAAACTTTTGCTGCTCGACACGCCACATCAACCAATCAGAGAGGCTGATTTGGGAGCTGCCAGGGAGACAGACACAGACACTGCTGATGGAGAACGCTATGATCACTCACCTGAAACTGTTTATTAACACCTCAATTAACTTCAGATGTCAAAAAACACCTTCCAGCCGGCGCGAACAGTGTTGGAAAACCGCAAAGAGGCGACCGGGGCAGAGGCTGCCATTAAACGGGATTTCCAGGGACAGAGCAACGCTGTTGTACGGGGGTCTGAGCGGCTCCAACAGCGAAATAATATTTGAAGCAGGAACGTAATCTGGATGAACTGACTGCACAGATGAAGCTTTCAGGTGGACCTTCTCACTTAAAAACATATTAAAACTACTTTTAAACCACTTATAAAAGCAAATATAGCTGCCATTTTTACAGGCTAGGGTAGCCCTGCCCAACACACATCAAACCCACTTTTCGACCGTGGAGCCAGAGCAGCAAAGATGCTTCAGCTGCACATATGTTTTTGCTGCTTCTGCAGCTTGCGCTCTGAGCATAGCATAATACTGCATTTGCAACTTGACATTTTGCACTGTTGATTCTCTATCTCAATCTACCCAAAGTATGGATGGAAACAAGTAATCAGCTTATGATTTGTCTTAATTAATGCTTTATTTAATAAAAAAAAAATGTCCATATGATTACGCTCTCTTAGGAGACATTTCTTCCTGTGTCACCCCTGTCCAACAGAATGCCGCGAATCATTCTTAAATGAAGCCTCACTAGTATTTGCAAGAGATGTAATGCCGGAGCAAAGGCATGCGAAAGCAGAAATACTAATTAATTGAGAGTCTGGTACAGGATTATTTAAACTGTTCAATGGTGACAAAGATGGATAATGCACTTTATGCAATGCTGTTTGTAACTATTAAAACTCAAACTTAAGTTATCACCGAAATAGCGCCCATTTAGCCAACTACTTCAGGCTACTGTAGACTCTTGTTATCTCGAATTTATTTATTTTTCTTTGGTTTGTCTCGCCTCTTACTGGACAAAGAATACAAATGGTCCTCCATAGCAACAGAAAGTGGAAGATAGAATGATCTTGGTCATTTCTACTCCTTTGAAAATTCTCGGCCACCAACAACACATCCAGATGCAGGTAATTTGTTTAAGGCTGACAAGTGATAAAGTAATCTGATTAATATGATGACATAACATGGCATCTCCCGCCGGGTGCACTATTTATTTATAAACAAATAATTCTAAGCTATGAGAACACTTTCATTTTTTTCTTTAGACCTTTACAGAATATATATTTATCAAAGCAGTACTTGATCTTTGCTGATTCAAAGCCAAATTTGTTACACAATGTCACTTTAAAGAATGCAGAATATATCAGAACCTGCTTTAAACTTTACTAAACCTGTGAGGCCTTCACAAAACAGCTGTATTTATATTGAGATGTTTACACTCTGGTAGACTAGATTTAGTTCTAAAGTCGGCTTATTTTTTTAAGGGATCAGATTAGAAGGGGTGACTCACCCTTAATCACATAATAAAACTGAGAAATTCATTGCAAGGGACTGTAATAAGGTTTATCATAAAAAAGCAGCAGGGAAAAGAGATGTATAATTATATCTAAATGCCAATTAATTTGAGTAAATAGCTTACACGTGTTATTTACAGGAAGACCACAGTACCAACAAGGAAGCTGCTGCAAATGTGAAAAAATAATTATACTGCAGCAAAACTTGTGTTCACCTCTCTCATTGTCTAATGACAGTAGAGCCCAAACATGTACACTTGGCATAATAAATCATCCCATGAGAAAGACTCTTTCCCTCCGTCGTTTGGCATACAAATTCCACTTGGAAAGACCAAATGCACCAGCTGTTTAATTAGTAGGTGGCAGCAATTTAGCCAAAAATTAAAAACAAATCAAGGGGTTTGGTAATGGAATAAAGAAAACAGCTTCAATGGGCAGTGAATGAAAACTCCCTCTTAATTATTTTTTTATATTGATGACATGTTTTCAGTGAAACACTTTAGACCAGGGTTCCTCAATCTTGGCCCTGAGGGTCTGCTGTCCTGCATCTTTTAGGCTATGTTCACACAGCAGCCTGAAGTGACACAAATCCATTTTTTTTGTCCATATGCTACCTGAATCTAATCTTTCTATAATAGTCTGAACAACACAGATCTGATGCGACCCAGGTTACTTGGCTCTGTGGTTCTGAATCCGATACATATCGGATCTTTTCAAACGCGACCTGCTCGCATTCATCCGACCTGAACGCCATTAATACTCAACAAAGGTCCATATTCTGCATCTTGAAACGTATAGGCGGGAAGAAAAACAACAACCATGGCAGATGATAATAAGGAGAGCATTTTTTATGTCAACCTTCTTGAAAAGATTGTGTTTTGATTGCGCCGGCTGAGATTGGGAAAGAGAAAAGTAAGGCTGCAAGATGTGCTCCAGCACTCCCATCCACGCAGGGCATGCATCTAAAAGATGCAGGACATCTTAACTCTAGGGCCAAAATTGAGAAAGTCTGCTTTAGATATTAACACATGTTATTAAAAATTTACTCAGTCACTATAGAGAATCCATGAGACTTTGTGCAACTTTGTCTGTGAAATGGCTCTGGGGTAAATAGCAGCTCATCAAACCCACAACCCAAACAAAACCTTGCTCTCAATAATCAGCCCAGCTTATTCTATATGCCATGATTCTTTCCCATCTTCAGTCTGAGCTGCCAACCGTGCCAATCATAGTGACTGGAAAAGACCCGCCAGCGGGAGGGGAAACAGGAGGAGTGGGGAAGGGGGAGGGGGGCTTCCTTCCGAAGCCATTCATGCTTTTTGAGGCCACCTGCTGTGCCTGTCAAAGGCTGGAGCAAGGCTGAGAATAATAAAAACAAAAGAAAAAAAAAGAAGAAAAGAGGGCATGCCATTTTTTTCAAGCTAAAGACCAAGAGCTAAATCCTCCAGCAGGTGAGGATGTCCTCATAAGGTTTAGACCCTCTCCGTTCCAGCACAAAAACAGCAAGCATTTATCCCACAAAGTCAACGATGATGCAGGACACCCGATGAGTGTGTGAGGATCCTCAGAAACCCCAGTTCAATCCAAAGGTCCCTGAACACCGGCCAACGCCACCTGTTACTGCTCCTCACTCCTCCGCCAACAGTCCTCAGTCCAGCTGTTTGTGCATGTGTTTATGTAGGTGGCAGAGATACAACTGTCCGGCCAACTGGGGCTGTACTGACAGAGAGGGATTATCATGGATGAGGATTACTGGGCCACTGGACTATAACAGACATCCAGTAATAGCTATAATAACTACTGCAGCACAAGGGTTGGAACACATGATGTTGAAATTTTACTGTGATGATGAGATCAGTTGAAACTAACTCATATTTTTATACACTTATCCCACCAAAGGAAAAAAAAATGAATAAAAATACTTGAAAGTTTACAAAAATCCATATTTGGTTTGAGGATAAACAACAGTCCACTCTACTGGTGTAATATAGGAGCTATTATTCTGACCTAATAGGCATATTAACAGTTTTTTGCAATATTACACACAGGGAGACACCAATCAGCATACCTGAGGGTAACCTTCACAACAAAAACAAGAACTCAACAGAACTTTAGGAAAAAAGAAGCTTTGTAAAGTCCCATGGGTTTTTGTTTGAAAGGCCTCCCAACAGCTGAGGCCTGCAGCAGCTGAGGGGGGGAGGAATGGGTGAGGCAAACAGAAAAGCGATCATCAACTTTTTAAAGCAAAAAACAAACAAACTTTATTTTAACTTAACCTCATTCAACATTAAATAATCTGCTTTTACCTTCCATTAGTGTCAGCTGTTTCAATAATTGTTGTTTGACCCCCTGATTGTATTTAAACTTGAGTTCAAAACACCGAGCAAACATCAAACAGACTTTGGAGACATTGTAACACATCGAAGTTAACTCTCCTTTTCCTTCCTCCTCCAACTTTCACCGGGTGGAGGCCCTGCTCAGCCCACTCCACCGCAAAACGTGACTTTAAGGAAAGCGTTTCTTACCTTAAAACCAACCTTAGCCGCGTGGTGCGTCGGCTACATGCGTTCTGTGGTCGTTTTTTTTCTTTCCCCTTCTTGCTTTCCGTCCTCCCACGCAACGCGTTTTGTTATTTCCCGTGGGATAAGAAGAAACTACCCGAGACCAGCTCTATGAACGTGGAATCTCAGTCTTCCGTCTGTCCCATGCCGATCAACTAAGAAGTCCTTCACTGAGATCCTGTTTCCCTTTACAATGGGGAGGCTGAGCTCGGTCACGCACAGCTGTTGTTGTGTCGGTTAAATGCGGGGTTCAATGCGGGAATAACCGGTGGATGGGAGGTGAGGGTCGCCCAGAAAGACACACAATAGCAGGACTAGTGGAGAGGAGAGGCGATGAGGCCAAAGAAGGAATCATGCTGCGTTCACGGGCAGAGATTATAGTCGGAACATACATACCGTATTTAAGGTTCCATGAACTATTTTTTTTTTTCTGTGTGAGAAATGTTACCGCACTTGATTGCTTTCATTTTGAAATATAAAGAAAAATAGTCATTTAAAATCAGCAGTGTCCTTCTGATTCTGTTTTCTTTCCCATCTCGATTAAATGTTTTTAAATCCTCTCTAAAAGCACACGTCTCCCTGGCTTTTAATCAAGTCTAAGTGGACGTTTGGCTTTTTTTCTTATTAAAATTTAAATATTTCCTGTTATATTTGATCTCCGTTCAATTTTTTTGCATTGTGTTTATGTAATTTAGCTTTCAGTTTTTATCTTATGCAACTGTGATTCCTGTAGAGCACTTAGGTCAACCCCGGTTCTTTAAAATGTGCTCTATAAATAAAGTTTGAGTTGAGTATAAAGCAGCATTTATTTAGGGATTGCGCCCCAACAGTTTCTCCTATTTACATCCCTCTTGAGGTAACATGATGCACTTTAGCATCCTGATGGTGCATTTCCATTGTAATATTTCCTATATTCATCAAAGGAATTGTAATTTGTTTTAACATTTTACTTTATGTGATGTTGCTATAAAAACATTAGTTTCTTAAAAAAAACTCCCTTTCAGTTGTACTTCAAAATTAAAAGGCAGAAATATTTACTTATTTGATATATTTATCCTTCTGCTTCCTCATACTTTTTAAAAATATTTTATTCAGGAAATGTTATTTCCTAATGAAAGTATGCTTTGTGTACTCTTACACATTTATGAATAATTATTCCACTGTTTTCAACAAAACAACGTATAATAAGATGCACATTGCTGACTTTCATTAGAATTTTCTGTTTATATATATTTTTTCTGTTTTACTAATGATCACCTTGTGACCTTTGTCCGCAGTTTCACAGAGAACTGTTGACTGATTAGTGCATGATTATGTAACTGCTCCTCTTAAGGAACTTGTAAATGTATTACAAGTGTGTGCAGCTCATAACAAGACATGTCCCTCTTTCGTAACAAAAACCCCCCATAAAAAAACCCATTTTATTTCACAAACTCAATTTGAAGATTAGTGTTGGTGTTTGTTTTTTTGTTTTTTACCTCACTGCTTGTTTGATGTGCTATATTACAGTGAAAATAAGTCTCAGGTAATTTTATTCCCGACAGCACTTGAAGCTCACATTGAATCCTTCTGAAATCTGTTTCTAATATGGCCGACATCACAGCAATAGATCTCTAATATGACTCTGAGCGACATGAACACCTCCACTAACATTTATATATTCAAGCAAAATGTGTATGCGTACATTTTATGTTAAAACGTTGTACTAAAACTAAACTGAACTGTTTTTTTTTTCTGTGCTTAACCTTTGAACCCACTTAAGATGGGAAAGTGTAAGGGCGCCATCTACAGTTGTTTTGCAATAAAAAAAAAAACTCTGATTTTACATCTGGCTATACGATTCTACATTTCATTTCTACATTTCTTGTGCCATAATGTCTGTAAAGAGAAATGATGGTCGTCTTTAATTTTCACATTTATCTAAGTATTTTGCATTGTTTGTATCCCAGCTGAAAGTGTGGTGGAGAGGATTTTTTTAGAAGAAAAAAATATATATATATTCATATTGAAAATCTCCTATAAGGAAAAACAAAAATCCCTCTAGATATGGATGCATATGTTTGCAGTAGGTTAGACTTTAAAGGGTTTCCACGGGGATTTGCTGACCTCTACTGACGCTGACTGGACAGTGTGCAAAGTATTGTATAGTCTAAATCCTTTAAACTATCATACACAGAGGATACTGTTGCTTTCACAGACACACCTTTTTGTCAGTATGTATGTATTATGATCCGTTGAAAACAACACATTGGAAAAGGGAAATTGGCCTCAAGCTAAACAGAACATTCAGTCCTTTTAAAGTCACCATTATTTCTAATTAGCAATATTAATCTTCTTTATGTATTACTAATATCATGAAATCATTTTAAATTTACATTCATTTGTATTTAATTATATTAATTATATTATTATTATAGACTGTTATTAAAGTCAAACTCAAAAAATAAAAATTGTAAGTTTTTGTTTTTATCTGTACAACATTCAAAGATTTTACCACCCCCCCTTTATTTAAACCCTCGTGTTGTTATTCTGGCTTTATATTCAAAGATAATTCCTTGCCCCAGTCTGAAGCCCTTTGCAGCCCTGAACAGGTTTTCTTTTAAATCTAATATATTTCACTCCCTCCATCTTTCCATTAGATCTAAACAGCTTTCTTATAGGAAAACATTCCCAACCCTATTATGCTGCTACATCCATGTCCACAACAGGGATGGTGTGTTCAGGGAAACATACATTTCACATTACAATTACATTTTGACCTTAACTGACTAATATATTCTACAAAGCTTTTGCAAAACTGTAAACATGTCTTCTTGATGCTATGTTGGTTTTCAACTTGCATTCACAAGGGCCAGATTTCCTGTGCGCATAATCATTTTCTTTTCTGCCAATGTTCCCATTTTTATTTTGTATCCCTACAGCTATTCCAGAGCTACCACCTGCATTTGGCTGCTTATTTATAACCTATTCACCCGGCCTGTTGGTTAAGGTGGACAGTGTTTAATGGTAAGGACAGGAAGGTAGTTGTACCATACTCTCTCCAGATAGACCAATAGACAGGCTAAACAGTGCTGTCTTCACAGGTAGGGAGCTGTTCTCCTGAGGCCATTAGAATAGAGCTGGGTTTATAGGGAGGTAAAGTTATATTGATTATCCTGATGGACTCTATTAAATAATAAGGGGAACTCTGACAACATTTGCCAACAATGGATTCTGTTCACACTAGCTGAGTAAACTATGCAAGCCACATTTTTCAGATGTATAGATAAATAGATGGACGGACTTGATTGATTAATTGATTAATTGACTTTATTGATCTCACAGTGGAGAAATTTATTCGTTACATCAGCTCAAATAGTCGAAGGAGAAGAATAAGGAGAAGAAGATGCCAAAAGAAGAAAGAAGTACATGGGATGTATATAGTACATTCAGTGCGTCATGATATGACAGCTTAGACAGACAGACAGACAGACAGACAGACAGACAGACAGACAGACAGACAGACAGACATATAATGAGATAAGAAGCAGCCATTTGTTGAGATGTAAAAGCAGGCCTGTGATGTTTTTGTTGTCATTTGTATTCGTTTTTGTATTCTATTTATTTTAATGCCGTGCCTTTGATGTTGAAATATTAATTGGAGAAAACAAACCTTGTCAATTTTCCATTTTAATTCACCTCTTTTACTCATGATGGCGCCATTTGCTCAAGGTACTGATCCGCATATCCACCAACTGGAGCAAGCAGGCCTAATATTAGCAGTCTGCTCCAGTCCAACCATATGGGCTTTAAGTTGAACGTCTCACAGTTCTCGCGTCCTGTAGAAAAAAAGAAAAAAGGCCCCTCCCGGCAGTGACTGGCTCTCTTCGTCATACTGCGTCAGCCTAAACAAAACGCTGACGTGCGCCTCTCTCCACATTGGCAAACTCCTCAGGTTATTGGTAAGCTTGAGGTGTGATTCAATCAAATGAAAAGATCTGCTAAAGCTCCCATCGGGGACCAGGACGACCCCCACGTAACGAGACGTCTATATGATTAGTCAGGTTTTTATAAAGGAATTCATACCTTAAACTCGGCAGTCTAAAATTCCCAACTTTAATATAAGCCAATAACCCGTAATCCTAAGGTTTAACTTTCATGAAATAAGTGGTCAATGTAAATGAAACAGAGGCGATACCAGAAAGTATTCAAACAATATAGGGGACAATTTACACTTCTTTAAACAGAGTTACACTACAACCAGATACCACACCAGATATTAACAGTTTTATGATGCTGTTCCTGCATATAAACTATTATGACAGTTAAGGGCTCATTTTTTGGATATAAGGGGATTAACATTCAACCAAACACATTTTCAAGTGTCAGTTTTCAATCACTATCTGTCACCCCCACCCCCATCAAAGATCGGATAATGGGGCTAACAGGCTCAGAAGGACAATCCAGACATCCCTGCAGTGACCATTTTCAGCCTTAACTTTTTGAGTAAAGGCATTTCCAGATAAGAGAGGATATGTATGTCTGCTAGAATGTGATGGGGTTTGGCTCTTGGTCTCCAAACCGTGAGGTACGTTCAGGAAATGGAGGTACTGAGCTAGGAGGCATGGATATATTCCTTGACAAGCAATTATCATATCTTAACAACTTAAAGTACTAAAGATACCAACCCCCCCACACACACACACACACACACACACATTTATATTACTGTTTTGTTCAGGTGTTCCTTACATGACTTACCAATCTTGTACCCTGTTTAGTCCCTGAAGATGTGTCTAAACCTTTGAAAACAAGCTTAATAACTAAAACGAGCATTTATAAGGCTTGGTCTAGCAGCAGATAGAAATATGAGTAAACCAAAGAGCTGCTTAGAGCCCCAAAACCAACAGGGCCCTTAAGAGCAGAAGTCCAACATAGGTTATGTTTCCAACTGTTTCCGTTTTTTTTTTTGTTTTTTTTTTTACAAGGGTTAGGCCTACATCTTTAGTAATCATGCAAACCAAGGTGTGTGATCTATGATCTCAAGTTCTATGTAAATCGTTTTGTTCAAAGTGTAAAAAGCCTCTTCATTTAAAATGCTCCACCTTTGACGATCACAAGAAGGAATACCAACACAATATGGAAAAGATACGTAGAAGAGTTTCTAATAAAATCATGTTAGGGGACACTTGACCAAACTCAACTTTGGGATTCAGGAAAAAAATCTAATTGACCAACAGAGGCCGGAAACATTAGAATACAATATATATTAGGAAGCTTCTAGAGGCCCCTTAAAACCTGACTAAATCAAAGGTTATGCAACTCTGATTTTCAAATTGTAATGGATTATCGGATGCTTTTAAAATACAAAACAAGGTTAGATATAATTATTTGCATATTTACTAGAGCAGGGTCTTTGCACACTTCCAACATTTTTAAAGTGATAAAGATGTCAGATTTATTGTAGGCCTAACTTGCAAACAACAAATATTAAAATGATACATTTGTAACAGTGGATTCCGGAAACAGTTTTTTTTTTTATCTTAAACATTGAAATCCAATAAAGCAATCACTTTCCATTTCATTATATCGTCACTTAAAATAGCTTTAATATGAATAAAATCAGCATAAGGTGTCATGTATCTGAAACACTATTCGGAGTCAATCCGTGTTTATATTCAGTCCGTCTTTAATTCTAGAGGTCCGAGAGACCCCTTGCCTCTGCTGCGTGGCCATTAATGCCACGCCACTCGTTACCGAATGAGGAATTGCTGGAAATGATTATACAACGCGCATCAAAAGTCTGGAAGCGCCGCAATTTGAGCCGATTCATTTCAGCACTGGACAGCGCACGCGGTCCCTGGAGGCCACCTCTAACCACAGCAACATGAAACCACCAGTAGCTACAGCAAAAAAAAAAGAAAAAAAAAAGCCGTTTCACGCATGGTGATTATATATTAATTTGCTACGTGAACGAAAAAAAGAAAGAACAGAGAAAAAAAGACCTTGAAAAGGTAGTCATCACATCTGATGATTTTTACGCATACTTTCACAACGTTTACAAAAAGCTAAAAGTTTTCAAGTAAACTTCCATCTGTCGGGGGAGGGAGGGAGTCTGATGGATGCATCGATGAGGAAGAAACTGTACCATTATTCCGGGAGGAAGACTTGATGACGTCCATAGCATCCTTAATGTGACTTGGCGAAGGGAGGAGGAAGAGGAGGAGGAAGGAGGGGGCCAAGGCTTACAATGCGCGGATAAAAATCCACGGCAATCAGCAGCACAGGACAAAAGTTTGGAGCTGCGCTATGTAGATGAACACCCAGCGCAGATCCATTTTAGTTTGCGATCAGAGTGAGTCTCTTTCATTTCACTGTGTCTAAAAGTCAGACGGGCTGTATTGAGGAGGGGGGGAAGCATCATAAGGATACCTGACGGAGGCGCTTGAGCCAGGAAAGAAGTGCTGTGAGGAAGAAACACTGTGTCTCAAACTCTCAGACACGCACAAACAACACAGCCGCGCCCGGATCACAGCCTATACAGCTCAGCGGTACACCTGCTTTCCGGCTCTAGGTATGTGCGCCTTTTTTCACTAATGAGAATCATGTTCTGAGTAGATCTGCATCTTAAACCTTTGCCAGAAAGGTTGGAAAAACAAAAGCTACTAAGGGAGAATTATGTTTGCTCACTTTACATATAAAAAAAACGACAGAAACCTCTTTCTATTTGTCAAATACATCAAATGATATAGAAACGACTATCTTCTATTGCAAAGAGATTTAAATGTTTTGTGTCTTTGTTTTACCAACAGTATGGCCAGTTCGAGTAAAGCCACTTTAATCTTGCTCATCTACGGAATTCTAATGCACTACAGCGTCTTCTGCACACCTATAGGACTAAGTTACCCTAAGATCAGGTAGGTTGGTTCCTTATCCTTTTTTAATATTTCAACTTCTTCGACTTAATCATCAAAATTTTTATGACTTTTTTTTATGTACCTATCGTTTTATCTTTGTATTTCAGACACGTGTATAAAAATAGGCACAATATTAAGGCGGTGATCTTGAAAAGAAAAAAAAAATATGGATAAGCAATAATTTCCCCAAAGCGCACAAACGCAGGTGTTGTGTGGAAAATGCCTATGGAAATTGCGTACATGAATCAGTCCTGTGGGACGGCTCACATAACTCCCCCTTATTAAAAATGAGAGACCAGTCAGTGCGCCGGATAGCCCTTGGGATGACGATGGACTGGCGTCACCAAAGAGAGGCGAGGCAAAAATGAATCGGGGAGCTCTACCCGTTTAAGATTTGTTTTTTTACCCACTTTATTTTTTCTAAAACCATATCCAGATTTCATTTGGGCGTGGTCCTCCTCGATTCAGATATTTCGCAGCTATTTTTAAGCTGTCTTTTAATAGATTTTTCCCCCCATCTCAGGCTCCACCGCCCACACTCTTACAGCCTATAGGCGATTTTTTTCACTCCCATTGTTTGGATTTCTTAATAATTAATGAGGAGCATGTGTGGATTTAAAAAAAAAATCTACCGCAAAGAAAATGCTTTATTGGAACAAATGTATATATTTTATAGTGTTATAGGTAATATATATTCATCTTTTATGGCTTTACCTTGTAAGAATAGGTGTACCTGAAAGTTAAAGACACGTTTATTTTTCTATGCATCGGATTCCTTATTAATGCTTTGCACGTTGCAGACTTGAAAACGACGCGTTCGACGAGGATGGCAATTCTCTGTCCGACATGGGTTTTGACAGCGATCAGCTTTCTATACGAAGCCCCTCATCCCTAAGCGACGACTCGTACAGCCTTTACTACCCGCCAGAAAAAAGGTAAATCCCAGCTGAAGACTTACCGCAGCTCCGAACCCCCCCAGTGTAATATGTCCATCTGTTTCCACATCAGGTAGTCGCAAATTGTTGTTTTCATTCTGTTGATGGAGGGACAGCATAATCAGGCTTTTAATATATATTGTACTTCATTTTAAACTGTTTCTGTTATTTATTTTTTTTTACCTCATGCCCATGGGTGGGGACATTTAAATATGGCTTTGATCATTTTGTCTGCGCCTTTTTTAAAATTCATTTTATTATTATTTCTGTCATTATTCTTTTTATTTAAGTCTCTGATGATCTATGTGTTTTTTGGCGTTTTATCATCTCAGACCAGAAAGGCATGCTGAGGAAGAATTAGATAGAGCCTTGAGGGAGATCCTGGGTCAGTTAACAGCAAGACATTATCTGCATTCTCTGATGACTGTTCGTGCAGGGTAAGGGCATTTCTCTTCAGCGTTTCTTTTTTAAGTTTCTTTTTTATGTCTGAGCCACGCAACTTCAGGCTGCTGCATCACTCATTATATGTGCGTTATTTATTATAATTTTTTTTATTTATTGTTTTTTGTGTGTTGCCTCTCCGTAAAACCCTCTAGAGGTATTGATTGCATAGCGCATGTTATTTTGGGACGCGCAAATAATGTAAAGATCTATAAAATGATGAGTTTTGTACTAAAATCCTTTGCAATTGATTTATAATTCTGTCATTAATGACTATATTAACTTATATAAGCCTAAGCGCTAATGAAAAAAAAAAAAAATCATACGTCAGAATGATTTATTCGTTATTTTTGTGTTTGCGTTTTATTTCATTTTAATGTGGAAATAAGTTTCCTTTAGTCGGTTTTACCAACATTTTTAAAAAATTTTTCGAACGAAAAAAAAAAAAAAATTAAATAAAGTAAAAATGAGGCCTAACTTTGGATCAAGGCAAAAATGATCACCATCAACATGTAAAACAAGAATCATAGTAATTTCCATATGGACGTTTACCCTGAATTTGCTCAATTAACGAATCTGATCACGATTCTTTCCCTTTCATATTTTTTTCTTTTTTCATTGTTTTCCAGTGATGAAAACAGCATGGAGGAAGAGTCAGAGCCCCTGTCCAAAAGACACTCAGATGGGATCTTCACCGACAGTTACAGCCGCTATAGAAAGCAGATGGCGGTGCAAAAATACCTGGCAGCAGTTCTGGGTAGAAGGTACAGACAGAGAGTTAGGAACAAAGGACGCCGGCTCGCCTATTTGTAGCTCCGCTGAGAGAAAGAACAAGATAAAGAAAGAGTGAGTGAAAGAAAAAAGAATGAGAGAATGAAAGTAAGAAAGCAAAAAAAGACAGACAGAAAGAAAGAATGATAGAAAGAAAGCAAGAAAGAAAGAAAGAAAGAAAAGAAAAAGCGCCCAAAACTGCCTCCTGTGTATATACATCCAGTTGTTAACTCAAAGTCATTCAGATATATCTGACCAACCAGTGGATTGCGCCTGTGTCCTTTCAACATGTATTTATGTATGAAGTAAAGCCATTAAAATCAATATTTTATTAATAATATCGTTTTTTTCTTTTCCATTTTTGTACAAATGCACTTGAGACTGCACAGTTATAACTACTTTGTGGACCAATATTTTATTTTTCATGTTGATATGTTGAAAAGAATAGAAAAAAAAACAAAAAACGACAAAAAACATAAATGATGATGAAATCTAAAAAAAAAAAGATAGATGTGCACCTTCAACGTTTATGCGCTTGAAATCTCTAAAGATCATCCCTATATGCAGAAAATAAATAGATTTTCAAAAGACAATCAAAGTATTGAATGTTACTACTTATTTTTGTAGTCTATTTTTTTAGTGTTGTTTTTTTTGTTTGTTTGTTTTTTTTTTTTTTTCAAAAGCAGGCCCAAAGACGCAGTGAGCATGCTATATGAGGTGTATCTAGGCTTATAAAAGATATATGCTTCCCATTTTTTCTTTAATGGGAGCTCTGTGGGTTTGGATCGTTTTGCTGCCCCTCCAGAGCTAGAAAATGAGATTGCTTCTGTTGGACGTCTTCTCATTTGATGTATATTTCGATGATTTACAAATCCATCAATGCTACTGGTGGAGAAATGTACCATGTTTGTGTAGAAAATATGGATATGCAGTCACATGTGGGCTTTTCTGGGGGATTACCGCCTTTGCTGGAGCTCTGGTTTTAGAGAGAAACCTGCTTATTTGTCTCAAAGTAATTTCGCAGTAGGAGTTAAATCCGCTCTATAGGACTGTGCAAAGAATGTTTGATCCTGTCAGTGTTGTGAGCAAACAAAAATGTTGATTGTTGAAATGTTGAGAACTGCTGATTGTATGCAGGTAGCACAGAGGTAGCACAGAGACAAAATGGGAAACTAAGCACAAAGAAGCATCAGAGTCCAAGTTGCTGAAAGGAGAATATTTACCTTTTATTTGGTGGATGTGGAAACTAACACCTTGTTATATCTCGCTTAAAGACTGCATGCCTATGTGCTTTTATTGCTATTGTGTAGAGGGCAGCGCCAACCTCATTTCTGCATCCCTTCCCTCTGCTATATTGTGACAAAAAATGTGATCAAGCAGGGCTGGAGGTGGTAGACACTGGAACTGCACTGACTTGTTGAATCTTTAACCCCTCCCACTGGATGTATCAGCAAGCTGATTACTTTTTGTCTTATTGTAGCAGTTTTTTAAAATATATTGTTTTAGTCTAAATGGCCTTTGCTGAATTACTGCTGTGTTTCAACTGTTAGAGAGAAGTTGATTTGTGTTGAATGTCTACTGTGAAGTGAAGAAAAGAGTGCGAGAGTGTTAGGGTGAGATGAAGAGATAAGACTGTGTAGAAGAATGGGAGAGAGCAAGAGAAGTTGCATTAAAAAAAACAAGACGCAGTACCCAAAGAGTCAGGGAAGGCAGGATGTGTGGAAACAGAAAAGACGTGAGGACCTCTTCTGCCTCATTGACATCAGGGTCAATAAGCCTGATTAAGCAGAATATCAGCTGTTGAATTCCCTTCACGGAGTAAGATCTTTCCCCTTTTCTGCTGAGGAAAAAAGCTGAATGAACCCCTTCCAGCAGAAATGATTCTCCCTCTGATTTTTTTTTTACAAGGGAACATTTCAAGTTTGTATTCCCTGTTATGCAAATGTAGCTTTATTTGCATATTTGCAGTATAATCAGCAGCCTGTGTTTCCCATATGAAAAATAACAACATGCTCGTTCTCTAATTTGGCTACAAAACAGACTTGGTGTGTGTGTGTATGTATGTATGTGTGTAGCAAACACACATGTATGTGTATTGTAAGTGACCAAACAGACATGGAGGTGGAAACAGTTTTTGGCTTTTGTGCCTTGCTTTGATGTGAGAAACTAAAAAAAGAAGAAAAAAAATACAAAGAAAAAATTCGCCACAAGTGACAGATGGCAATTTAGTGGCCCTACGATGCTGCAGTCCATTAGCTTACATTGAAACTTCCTTTTCTCTGTTTAATTGCTTAGCTTAGTCTGCCCCAACAGTAGTAAATTAGGCTTTTGTTTTTACAGCATGGCCAATTAGTTCTTTTTAGTATAAAAAAACATAAGAATAGAATGTACATGTTGGTGGAACAGGCAACGCGCGTGTGTGTGCATGAGTTTGGGTTACTCATTGTCTGTGAGAGTTTGTGAACAATGACCAGTGTTTGTTATTGTTGAACATGAGGTGTTGTTGATTATTTTGATATTGATCAGTATCTTATATGATCAGTAAAGAGCCCACATATATATATATATATATATATATATATATATATATATATATATATATAT